ATAGCTGTATATTTATTCCTATAGCTGTATATTTATTCATATAACTGTATATTTATTTATATGGCTGTATATTTATTTATATAGCTGTATATTTAGTCCTATAGCTGTATAATTATTTCTATATCTGTATAATTGTTTCTATAACATTATAGCTGAAGCTCATGCACCACCCGTACCGTACTCTACATTCCTATTTCCTTTCTCAAGGCTTCGGAGGAGACAACAAAGTCGACGTCAACAACTTCGACAACGTCAACGCCCGCGCCTTCGGCTACGACAACTTCGGCAACAGGTACATCAACGTCGAGGCTTTCGACTTCAACGGATGGAGGAACGCCGCCCAAGCCGCCGCTCCCCGTGAAGCAATCAACGCCGCACAGACCGAGCAGATCGTTATCGGCCGTCGATTCCGTAGCGGCTACGCCCGTCAGACGGAGACCAGCGGCGCCTCCAGGGAGGGAAGCGGAAGCGGGACCTCCGGCATCGAGTTGTCTGCCACCCGCACCGCCAGCCAGGACGCCACCCAGCAGTTCACGCAGGAGGCTAGCGGAGAAGGCAGCACCAGTCAGGGAGCCGCGTACGGATTCGAGAGGAACAACAAGGGAGAGATCCGCTTTGTTCCCGTCGCTGTGGATTCCCTGCCGGTCCACTCCGGACCCCGCAGTCAGCTGCCGGCCAGCGCCCGCAACTAAACTAGAAACCATTCGATTACAGGCGTTCTCTTCTGTACAAATGCGTTTCTTACGGTCAGTCGTTATGCGTCCATCCCTCTGTCCCACTGACTGGTCAGGCTTAAGACCGCCAGGACGAAACACGGCAAACATGAGCAACGCGTTTGAGCAGAAAAAGTGCGTCTTTAATACATCTCGCAAATATCGACACGTAAGAGATTATCGAACGAAATCGATTATTTACGTAATCGATTAGTTACAAAATCGATTAGTTACGAAATCGATTAGTTACGAAATCGATTAGTTACGAAATCGATTAGTTACGAAATCGCGAAGGCTTGCAACAAATTTCACGCGAATTTTCACAGATCGAGCCGCCGTACAGAAACTATATCGTGAGCTGATACCATTTTTTGAACTATATAGTGACCGCACGCTCGCGAAATCACGTGGGCTTGCCCGGGAGGAAGGGGGGCTGCACTTTTTACGGCAGAGCGCGGAGCAAAAATTCCATCGCAAACAGAAGCGATATTCTTCGAGATATCTTAACGCAACGAAACGACAAGTTTTTATAACCGGGACAGCTTTCAGTAAATGCGTCTCGCGAAGCACCGAACCAACGATCAGTTGAACTACTCGTGTTAAGCAATTGTGACCACGACAAAAGACCATCATATAAATATGTGTAGCGTAGATACTAACCAGAAACAGTAGATAATAAAAGAAAACATGGTGAATGCAGGAAAGCAATGGGTTTTTAATTTGTACTTTATATGATTTATTTGCCCGTGTCATGCGATCACTTTAATGCATTGTGCGCGATAGATTAATTTCTCTTTATATACTTCTTGCTTCTTTGCCCTGTCGTCGCACACACACACACACACACACACACACACACACACACACACACACACACACACACACACAGTTTTTATTATTAGCACATTACTTTATATATTATTATTAGCACGTTGTTTATTAATAACATTGTATTTTATATATTAACACACGTCACTCACTCATATCACTCCATCTTGAGGTGATTATACTCACCAGCATTCACGCGGCCAGATATTTCCCAAAATATTATAGCCTATCCCTTCTACGTTTGACTTGTACTAACTTTCTACGCGTCTCGCTCGCCACCTTACAACCGCACACAGATCAACATCGCTATATAGCTTACTCATCAGATATTAATCACACGCGTTAATCCTAGGACCGACGACACATTAATAAAGGTATAAGGCTAATTTCGATAGCGAGTGGTAGCACTTCCCTACACATGTAGTTCTAGCCCTCCCTTTTCCACTCCGCGATCTACGCAAGCTCACATATACTATACAGCACACCTCTGGTGAAATTTAATTTGCTCCTCCTCCCACCCACGCAGATTGAAAACCCCTGGCTTTCAGATCGGTGGGGCGATACCACCCTGGTTTTGATTTAATGAGATAGTGATATATAGATGTTTTGATCACGGTGTTGTGATATCGTGTTACGATACCGTGGATCGTCGATATCATAATGGTACGTGATCATTCGCTGATGATGACATTCCCTGTTTACGATATCGCAAGGTATAGTGATATCAGTGCTGTTAATAACATCGTATTGTGATACGCACTAGTCTGATTTATCGTATTGTCATGGTCCGGCGCCGGCCGAAATTACCGTAAATGTAAACATTCGTGCGACGGCTTATCCCAAGCTCGGCGCGAAATAAAGCGTAGTCGTCATCGTCCGCCCTTGCTGCTTGCGTCGGCAGCTCGCACCACGGCGCATGCGCACGTGGCACTCGACAGCTCAGTGAGAGCATCGCGCGGGGCTATGGTACGGTAGGCTAGGGAGGAGGGAGGGAGAACTAGCCTAGTGCTTATATACGGGTGAGTGCCCGCGCTGCTACGGGTGTTCATAGAGGCGAGATTAACCTCCTCTCGCTTATCACTCACTATCGAGCAGTCGCCATTCCTTCAACACCACACGCTCCATTGCCGCTTCTTGTTGTGTGTTGGTTTTTTGCGTGAGCAGCGCCGTGTTCGCTGGTGCACGAATCGAGCGTAACGTGTATACACGGAGATACGGGAAAGAGAGCACGCGAAAAAATAAAGAACAGAAGCAGATGTGTGAAAAGAGGGGAAGAGAAGGCCGAGAAGAAAGAAAGCGAGCGCAGAGGCAGAAGAAAAAGGAGAGATAGAGCGCTGATACAGCGAGAGAGAAGAGAGGGAGAAGTTAGAAGTGTGACGTGTGTTTGTGTTTCTGTCTGTCCGTGTGTGTGTGGGGGGGGAGGGTGTATGGCGTGTGCATTGCGTGTGTGTGTGTGTGTGTGTGCGTGTGTGTGTGTGCGTGCGTGCGTGCAGTGCACGTGGGATGCGTGATGGATGCGTGCGTGCATGCGTGTGTTGTGGGCGTGCGTGCGTGCGTGGCGTGTGTGTTTATTGTGCGTGTGTGCGTGGCGTGCGTGTGTTGTGTGTGTGCCGTGTGTGATGTGTGTGTGTGGGTGTGTGTGCTGCTTGTGCGTGCGTGTGTGTGTGTGTGTGTGTGTGGTGTGTGTAGTGCGGTGTGCGCGGTGCGAGTGGCGTGTGCGTGAGCGAGTGTGTGTGTGTGTGTGTGTGGGCTGTGCGTGTGTGTGTGTGTGTGTGTGTGTTGTGTGTTGTGTGTTGTGTGTGTGTGTGTGTGTGTGTGTGTGTGTGTGGCCCCTGTGTGTGTGTGTGTGTGCTGGCGACGACAGGGCAAGAAGCAAGAAGTATATAAAGAGAAATTATCTATCGGCGCACAATGCATTAAAAGTGATCGAGCATACACGGGCAAATAAATCATATTAAAGTACAAATTAAAAACCCATTGCTTTCTGCAATTCACGCCTGTTTTCTTTTATTATCTACTGTTTCTGGTTAGTATCTACGTACACATATTTATATGCATGGTCTTTTTTGTCGTGGTGCACAATTGCTTTAACCACGAAGTAGTTCAACTGATCGTTGGTCGCGTGGCTTCGCGAGACGCATTTAACTGAAAAGTGTCCCCGCGTTATAAAAACTTGTCGTTTTCGTGCGTTAAGATATCTCAAGAATATCGCTTTCTGTTGCGAATGGAATTTTTGCTCCGGCGCAGTTCATGCCGTAAAATGTGGGAGCCCCCTTCCCTCCCGGGCAGCCCACGTGATTTCGCGAGGTCGTGCGGTCACTAATATAGTTCAAAAACATGGCATCCGCTCTACGATATAGTGTTCTGTACGGCGCGCTCGATCTGTGAAAAATTCGCGCGTGAAATTTGCTTGCGCAAGCGCTTGCGATTTCGTAAAAACTAATAGATTTGTCGCGTACACTAGTCGATTTCGTAACATAATCGATTTCGTACTAATCGATTTATTGTACTCTAATCGCATTACGTGAAATTAATCGATTTCGTATCGCATAATCTCTTACGTGTC